TAATTATATTTCAATTGCAAAACACAAAGAAGGGATAATTTATTTTATTTAAAGATCTAATAACGAACTTTTCATTAAACAAATATATTAATGTGTATACGATTACGGTATATACCGTAATTATAAAAAAATACAATAATTATATTAAATCACAAAATGAAAATGGAAACACCAGAGATTTTTATTTATATTCATCATTCAAAACATCTAACGATTTTTTCATTAAATCATGATGGTACTATACTACTAGTGCCCATGAAATCGACTCTAATTCCGGTTCGGTTTGGCAAAGAGGGTTTCAATTTTCAAACTATTCCATCAAAATAATGTAATAACCGGTCTCAATCGGTTAAAGTAAAACCGGTCCAAAAGATCTGGTACATTACATAGATATCAATTGACATTGGTTCGGTTAAGTAAACCGAGTGAAGATTTACGGGTACAGTCGTCGTAATCAATTGCTGCTAGACCGTAGTAACAGAGAGACAAGTGCTTTAAAAGTTTCAAACTTTGCCCACATGGGTGTGTTAGGATTATCACCATTTTTGACTTTTTAGATAAAGATTAGTACTTACTACTTACTGACCAAACTCTTTATATTTGACTAAAACCGAATCCAAATAAATATTTTTTCTCCTACTTTGACTTCGTCACATGGACAGTTTGATTCCTCTATGTAAACCAGACATCAGAGCTTACCAATTGACTAATGATGCATCTTGAAAAACTTGAACCTTAATAATGATAAGTAACTCCTGCAAAAACATAAACAAAATGATGCTTAAAGGAAAGTGATGATGTTTCTGTAAGAGTTTAAATGAATCCTTGGAATAATGGAGCAGGAATCAGATATGCACAAAAGCTATGGTCCCTACGATTTTCGTAAATAGATCTGTTTTTTATAAGCAATCCGTAGAACCACTAAAACTGAGAAAGAGATGGTATCCGTTTGAAGTGAGGGTGTTGCATAAATTATCGACAAGAAAAGATTGAGCATCAAAACATCATTAGGTTAAGATCTTTACCTAAGATTCGAGGAACGAGGATGCTAGTGCTTCTCTCTCTTCTTCATCTGTATTAGAAACCAAAATCAAGACATTGCTTGAATAATCCGAAACACCTGTTCTTCCAAACAAGATGTTCACCAAATCACTTTATCCTGTATTCGTCTAGTTACTTCATGATGTTCCTCTTGCACAATCTGCAAAGAGCAAATTAAGCAAGGTTCAAACTTATTTCTTCTCTGAAGGAGAAAATGACTTTAACACAGCTTAGTATTCTTGTAACCATTTTACCTGTAATTTAAGTTAGAAATTAGACAGGCGCACTCATTAGTCAGGTGTCGTTTTATCGTGTATCCAAATCCCTTTGCTCATCAACCATTTCAGTGGATTATATTCTGAAAGGACTCGTTGCATCAACTCATCTGGTTTGACTCCGTTTCTTAACATATGTTCATACAACAATGCAGCTTCAACGAGTTTTCCAACCTTGCAACAGCCACGAATAAGAATTGTGTACGCAACAACATCAGGCAATAACTTTGCATCAATGGCTTGATGGAAGATGTTTGTTGCTTCATCCACTCTTCCTCGTTTGCAAAGACCGTCGATTATGATGCTATAACTTATTATGCTTGGAGAAATACCCTTCTCTTGCATATCCTCGAAAAGCTTGAAAGAACCTTCAATATCGACGGATTTTGCAAAGGAATCCATCAGACAACCGTATGTGACGACATTTGGTTTAGGGCCCTTTTCCTTCATCATGGAGAACATCCTTATAGCATCATCCGTATCATTATTTTTACAGAGTGCATGGATTAGTATAGTCAAAGTAATGGCATTGGGTCCAAAAGGGGTAAATTTGAGCATCTCGAAAATCCTCATTGCTTCATCTAACCTTCTAATAGAGCAGTAGCCACATATCATTGTGTTATATGTCACAATATCAGGCTCCAGATTTCCTTCGATAAGATTATTAAAGAACTTAGAAGCATCTTCCACACGGTGACCTTTGAAAAACAAATTAATGACAGCATTACATATCGCAAGATCCATAGAAATTCGATTCCTCTGCATCAGCTCAAAAAGCTGAAGCCCAATGGTTGGCTTCATATGCTTGCAGAATGCATCCATTAGCATACAGAATGCTACAGCATCAGGTTTAAAACCCATTTTGAACATCCAGAAAAAAAGAAACAATGCTTCTTCTAATCTACCTTCCATGAGACTCACTTTCATAAGCGTGGTGAATGTAGCTACATCAGGGCTTATACCATATATCCCCATCAATCTAAACACCTTCAAAGCCTTGTCAAAACGATTTAACTTACACCAGCCATCTATTAAAGAATTAAAAACTACGACATTGGCCCGGACCGAATGACGTAGAGTCTTAACAGAGAATCTCAAAGCGTGGAGCATTAGCCCTTGCTTACAAAGGCCATCGACAAGCATACCGTAGATGACAACATCAGGTGGATGACCCATCTTTATCATATCCTCGTACAAAGCAAACCCGGATCTCAAGTTCCCACACTTGCAAAATCCGTCAATGAGACTGCTATAAGTTACAACTGATGGCTCCAGACCACGTTTCAAGATCTGACCATATATACCAAGAGCCTCGTAAATTCTACCGTCCTGGCACAAGCCTTTTATCAGAATGGTGTAGGTAAAAACATTAGGGGAAATCCCTTGACACAACATTCTCTTGTACACATCAGATGCTGTTACGAAATCCCCACATTTTACATATACGTCAATCGTTGAACTAAAAACAACTACGTCCAACTTTACGCCTTTCTGTAATGCCTGCGAGAAAAGTTTATGACCCATTCCTAACATCCCCGCCTTGAAATATCCATCAATCAGAGTGCTGTAAGCGATCAAGTCCGGCGCTATTCCCATCTGCACCATAACTTTGAAAAGCTCGAACGCTCTATCCATTTCGCCTCTCTTGCAGAACCCATTAATCAATGTACCAAAAGTCACCACATTAGGCGCCGGACCACAATCCAACACCAAGCTTAACATACGAGAAGCTACCTCTAACCGATCAACTGAAAGACCTTTCAAAATCTTATTGCAAGAAACTATATCAACATGAAATCCTCTCTCAATGGCTAGTCGGTGAAAATCTAAAGCCTTTGTAACCTCTCCTTTGTTGAAAAGACTATCCAACACAAACCCATAAGCACTCAAACCAGAAGGGACCATAACTCTACATAATTTATCCCAATTATCAGCAATTAAGTCAATACGAGCAGCATCAATCAAATAATTTAGCAACCTATATACAGAAACCTCCGGTATAACTACACCGGACTGAATACTATACACAAATATATTCATAGCCTCATCAACCATACCATATCTACAACAACATTCCATCAAAAACCCATAGAAAACACCGTGATTCAAAGGAAAGTCCATTGAACCATCCCACAACGAACCCAGAACATGAAAATCCTTTCCGCGATTAGCAATCATTTCATCAAACACCTTATGTGCAACACCGAACATCCCATGTCGGATCAAAACGTGTGAAAGTGTAAAGAAAGAAGGATCTCTTCCAGAAATCTCCGCCCATCGGAAGTACTCAAGAGCAGAATTGGGATCGGATTGAAGCGAACGAAGGACCAAATTCGCCTCTTTTAGTTGCGAATTCGCATCGTAATCAGAATCTAATAATAGATTAAAGTTGCCTACTTTGATTGATTTAGAGACACATGAAGGTAGGGCTTTAGTTGAATCAGAAGAAAACCCACATGATTTCAAACTCTTGTTCAAGCTCAGGAACAATGATAAAATCGGCGGGAAAAAGCTCTTGCGTAATTGTAAAGACGATGAAGAAAACAGAAACATCTCGCAGATTTTTTTTTTTAAATGCTTTTTTCTTAATTTCTTTATTCCAGAACAAAAAAAACGCAACCCGACTTGTCTCAATTGACCCGACTTAACCCGGACCGAATTAAAAAGGAATATGGGCTTTAATAGATCGGCCCACTACACTTATTTAATGAAAGCGACTCCTCCATCGATAAACCCTAATTCTATTATGTTTTACCCTCGTTAAGTATTCGCCGCCGGGTACGAACCCGATTTATTTCAACCCGACCCGGATATATAAAAGATATGGGCTTTTACTGCTCGGCCCAATACATTTTATGAGAAAATCATTGCTTTATTTAATGGAAACGACTCTCCCCGTTTTCAAAACCCTAATTCTTAAACTCTTGAATCGCCCGCCGTGTGAGGCTTAATCTCCGGCGCAGCTTCAGTGTCGGAGTTTCACGTATTGATATTGTTTTCTTTTGTGAAATCTATGTTTTTTTTGCCGAATCGATTATTGAACTAGATATCTTCGGATCTGGAGTTAAGACTCCTTGGGAGTTGCAAAAATTCGATTTGAGCAAAAAGGTCAAACTTTTGCAAATCGAGCTTTTGCAGTTCGATAAGAGTCTTGTCTCCATGTTCGAACTTGTACCAAAATTTGATTTTTCTGTGTTGGGTTTTTAAGATTTGATGGAATTTTGCACTATGTATTTTGAAGGCTATGTCTTTATTTTCAGTGGCATAGTCTTTATTGCAAAAGTGCATATACAAAGAGCTGTTGAATCAGCAAGCGGCCAGACAACCGTCGGGATAGATCCACAGGTGAAACAGAATTTTCCTCTGTTTTCAGCTACTAAATCTTTCCTACATTTCGTCCCATACGATTCTCATATTCTTCCAAAGTGTTGACTCTAATGATGTATAGAGTAAATAGGAAGTTGGTTTTTTGTCTGGATTCATAAGGAGATTGCATCTAATGATGTTTAGAGTTAGTGAGTCTTTTCATAATCTCTGATCATATGGATTCACATTTGAAAACCAGGACAGATGATTTGGTTTATGGTTCCTTATAGATTATGGAGCTTATTTGTTGATTCTGTTGTTTTTGTGGTATTTGCGATTGATGGGTAAAGAAGTTTAGAGGTTAGTGAGATTGGTATTGAATCTTTGATCAGTTTGCTTTTAGATTGTTGTTTTGTTTTATGTATTTTGATTCTGTTGTTGCACCTTGTATTTGAAGGTCATGCTTCGTTCTGGTTGCATGACCATTGACACGGGATGCGTATAGTAATTGCTGTTAAATCAGTAAGCGGCCAGACAACCGTTGGGATAGATCCACAGGTGAAAGCGGTTTCTTTCTCTGCTCTTGGCTACTAAATCTATCCCACATTTTTCTTCTTATGTTCGTTGCAAAATGTGTTTTAGTTTGATTGAATTTTGCTTAATTGGGTTTGTATGTGTAATCTGTTCTAGTTGCGTTTTCGGTTTATATTTGACCCCTTGGTCTCATTTGCTTTGTCTTGTGGGGTTTTAGACAGATTTTTGACTAAAGTGTATATCTTGGGTGTGATCAGAACTTGATCTTAAGGAGCATATATAAGTGGATGTAGAATATATTAATTCTCTGGACTAAGAAACATTTATGCTTAACATGAATGTGTTATTCAGTAGGAATCTGAACTTTATCTGAATTGTAAATGGTCAATATTTTGGAGATAGCTTGAAACGTTTTTCCCCAGACCTTAGACTGACCTACTAATATTGAACGAACTCCGAAGTGGATATTTTTCTTGAACTAAAGTGGATGGTATAAATACAGATAATGATTGTGGATGATATAAATGTAAGTTACATGGTCTTCCTTGAAAGTTGGAAAATCACAGATACAAAAGAAGCTTATATGTTCCAGAAAATTTTATGTTTAGACTATATTTGTCTTGGTGGAATATTTAAATATTTTTATTAATTTTTTAACATAAATTAATTATTTTAAAATTTTTATAAATTAATAATGTTGAGAATATAATATTTTATTAATTTAGAAAAAATAAAATTTTCATAATCATTTAA